TTGCAACTTACCCAAACCTCACCTTGAGCGTCACGTGCTGCGTCTCAATTATTGCTTAGCAAATACTTGGCTTTATACATGTTCCTTCAATCGTATGCGAATATAGAAATTTTACTTACGAATAAAAGATAGTATATCAATAACAGATTTCTATGTATACTACTATAGGGGCTCTGCGCTATGCGGCCTAAATAAATTGCGCGATAAATTCCGGTCAATTCTCCCTAAATCTGTTACTCGACTGCGAGCGGGCGCGAAGACTAATTGATTTGGTGTGAAAAGTAAAGTCCATGAAAGGCAGTTCAACACGGTCCTTAGATCGAAGTCAGGTCATAGTATTAAATTCCACTCCACAGTTAGACAAGATCTATAAATCGTAGCCGGGTCAAAAATCATAAAATTCAGTTCGGAAAATATCGAGCAACTAGTGAGCAAGCCATGGAGTGTAGAGGTAAGAACCGTCTGTACATGAAAGTGTCCGTAGGACAAGGTTATAAGGGATGGCGCCACTGCAGCTAGAGGGTAAATTATGAAGAACTTTATTGCACAAACTTTTAACATAATTCTTTTATTGTTTTCAAAATCACTCTCACAGCTTTTTGTAGGTTACATAATAAATTATTTTGGACAATCTGAGTAGTTGACGTTTTAAATACTGCGGTTTCACCAGTCACCACAAATATTAAATTCCTCAACTCAGCACACTTCACTCCGTCGACAATTGCTTAGTTCATTTTGTACTCGTTGTTTAAATTTAAACGAAAACTGGCCGGCCCTGTGTGAAGAGGCATTTGTTCTTATAGTTCATAAAAGACAGCTTGATCTCTGCCACAGCTGTCAGTAAAATCACGTCTATGAAGTCCTGAATTTCTTAGTAGTACAGACAGTACCTGTCAATGTCATACTTTATGGGCATGCCATAACCTAATTATGTGCATGCCCATAAGGTATAACATAGACAGGATGTACTGTCTGTACTACTAAGAAATTCAGGACTTCATAGGCGTGATTTTACTGACAGCTGTCGCATAGATCAAGCTGTCTTTTATGAACCATAGTTAAGTTTTTAGTTTTTTTTTTGGTGAATTTTACTATTTTATTGTTTTAAAATTTTCAGATATATATATTATGTTGTTACTTAATATCTTCTGTCAATGTTGTGTACGCCTGTAATAGGTATATGTATAAGGAATTGTGCTTTATAAATGTAACTCTTATAATATGTATACATGAACTGTTGGTGTACCTTTTTAAATAAATGAATACCCTCTAGCTACTCTTGAACTGTTATTTACTGCTTACAGCTGGACACTTTTCCAACTATTCTCCTTGTGAGACGGTTCTCCTTAACTACACTCCATAGAGTAAGCAAACAAGAATTATTAGACTATATTTACTGCTGTGTGCTAACACTATTTTAGTCCACCGACGCTACCGCTAAGCGCACGCGCATGTGGCGCCACTGGTGCGTAATGTTGCTAATTAAATTTTACCGAAACTGATTTAATATTTGTGTTTTTAATTTTTTACTATTATAATTTTATATACCTATATCACGTATATTATTGAAAATGTAATACGAATAAGGGGAAATCTATAAGTAATGTTATACGTTAAGGGAAGGGGAGAGGGTTGAGAAAATGTGACAAGGGCTGGGACATAGCCATAGTGAATGGACTGTGCGTTCTGTACTCAGTTGAGTAGCAGCAAAAGTGCGAGAGAGAGCGAATGTACGGCCAGTAGTTGTCTCATTCTAGAACTCTGATTGATTCACGTCGCTGGCGGTCAGGAGTGCATCGTTCTGCGCTGCTCATATTTCTTACGGGGGACTATGCCTAGGCTTGCAGGAAAGAAACGGGTATTGGCCGCACAGTCGCTTTTTCACTTTATAGAGAAGGGACATTTATGTGAGGCTAACGCTCAGGCCATTCTTTATGTATATGGGCTGCAGTTTGTGATCATATCCTAGACGGCCCCCGCCATTACATCAGATTTGATAGACCACAAATCGTCGCGAAAGAACATCGATTCCTACTAAGGATAATACGTGAGGCTATTGAAATTTAAAAAAAAGCCCTAATTTCAATAGAGAAGGAGGCTGGTATTACCACCTGCTTGGGATCCTGTAATTAATAAAATTAAAACTAAACCTAAGCATACCACTGCAAGACTAAGATACAGTAAGTTCATTCTGTGTAGGTCGGACTATAAATAATAATTAAAAAGCTGGTACTCCGGGTTAACAGCTTGACTGCCCATTTCGCACCGGTGCGTAATGCGGGGCTGAGCGTGGAGGGCGCTTCTCACACCGGTGCGGAAAGCTAGGTATACAAATTACAAAGGCCACTATGCCGCGGGCTTTGCGCGTAGAGCGTCGTTTGTAGGTTGGTCTTGCGAGTGAATTTCCGGCAATTTTTTACGTGAATTTTGTATTACCTGTTATTGTTTGGTTTATATCTGCACATTATTATGGATAGTATTGCGGGTCCTTCACGTACAAGAAAAAGGAAGTTTGTAATTAATTATGCTGAAAACGACAGTGATTTGGAAAGAGAATTATTCGCCGAAAGTGTCAGTGATGAAATTTATTATCCTGACTATGATGAAGAGGAGTTATCGTCGGAGAATGAGTATTGCCAGCCGCCTACGTAATTTTCTGTAACTGATATCAGTTTACGTAGCCCTGTACAAAAACTGCCACGGTCCTCACCCTCGCAATCGCCACTTCATCATCAAGATGATGATCAGACACCTGATAAACCCTCTGCTGAAGAGTCTACATCTCACTGGACTTCTGAAGATGATATGAGACAATTTAATTTGACAAAAACTAATCGGTTTCTTGGAGAAATCAATGGAACAGAGCCAACTGATTTTTTTGACTTTTTTTCGACCAACAGTTTCTTACTATGATCTGCAATGAAACCAACGCGCAGGCAGAAAGGTTGTTTTTGTCGACTGGTTCTGAATATGCTAGGATTACCCGGTGGAAAGAGCTCACTGTCCCAGAGCTAAAAAAAATTTTTGGTTTACTGTTTCACATGGGAACTGTTTCTATGAATAGAATACAAGATTACTGGAAGAAGGACAGGCTAGGCTAGGCTATGTGCACTCTCTTCACTCATCTTGACGGGCAGTGAAGCTGTTAACACTGACATCAGGACGTCAGTCACCTCAGTCCCTGTGACCATGGGTGCCGGAAAGCACCCGAAATGTCGGGAATTAAAAATCAAAAAATTAAACGCGATAAAAGCCGTAAAAGTAGTTTTAATTAATTTATTATATTAGTTTACGAGTATATGTCAGTAGATACTATGCAAAATAAGGAAATAAAAGTATTTATATTTAAATATTATTAGCCCAATATATAAGTTTGCAAACTGTTTCCAAAGGTTTGCTATCCCTGACTAATAATCTATATATTCTAAATTAGTAGTCAAGCGTATTGATATCTTCAATGTTCAATTTAGGATAATAAGTGGTAGTTCTCTTTATCTCAATCTTTTTATATCTGTTTTTAGATAAGCGATGTGACGCCCTAGGTGCGTCATGGGCCTCCCGTGATATTTGCTTATGACACGCCTGGGGCGTCACTGGCCATGAATGGGTTAATTCTGATGTGTTTTGTATTGTGAGGGAATAGAACCGTTGAATCTTTTTACTGGAAATGAGACATTCCATCGTAGTCCTCGGGGGTGACAATACATCTGCGTTTTGATTTTTAATCAATGATAAATGTAGATTTCTATGGGTTACAGTATCCACTTACCATCAGGTTGAATGTGTGCTCGTTTGTCACCTTATATTATAAAAAAGCTCTCATATTGTGTAATATACACTGATGCTTGTTTAAGTGAGGAAGCACAAAGCATGGGAAAGAGTCAGAGGGACAGGAAGTAAGTGCGAGAGGGGGAGGAAGACAGAGATCGAGGGATGAAATAAAGAGTCTGACCGGTGTGTTGTTTGAAATTATTCATCTTTGATTTTCTTGGACAATTCATTTCTGTACCTGCCCACTTTTTTCTCCACCGAGAAGCCTCAAGACAAAATGTGACAGACCAAAGACTGGACATTGGCAGAATTATTGTGATACAATATCAAGGGCCATATTTAAAAAAAAAACATCTGTATTAATTTACAAGTGTAAAAATGAAACAGTATTGTAAAGTAGTATATTTTTATTACAAAATAAGGTACAAAAGGACATTGTATTACAGCAGCAATTCAAATTGTACCAATTTACACTAGTAAATAAATATCTAATGGCAGTAAACATGAGTATTTTTATTTACATTCAAAATGGACTTCAGGGCAGTACTAACAAATAATAATAAATATATAAGATTTAATTTTACGGGATAGATATAAAAAATATAATTGATATATTATTATTTTTGTCCTCTGTTTTAATAAAAATTGAGTACACATAAAGAAGGTTTTTTAAAATATTACAATTAATACAAATCTATATTATAGTATAACAATTCTAGCCATATCTCTAACATAGTCTGGTTTTTGTTAGAATTATTGCCAAGATAGTTTTTAATTTAATAACACAGGTGCATACAAGAGTTTTTAAAATAACAGTTACGCTTCTACAACACACATGAAATAAACTAATCATGTTCTTTTGAAATTTACATTACAGTTGGTAACTTTATGGTAACTTTTAGTATGTATGTAGGTAATGTCTTTGCCATTGTGTTTTTTTAATTCGTTTTTTTCTATTTTGAGGCAATGACAATTAGGTACAATGTTCCGTACATGTTCTTACCTTTTCATTCCCATTTTACAATCACTTAATTGAAGTGAAACTTCTTTATCGATGTAGTGGTTGATTATTAAAAACGTCTTCTTGTTTCATTTCAGTATACTATTTCTGTTACCTACTTATGTAAAATATAAAGTAAAAGAACAATGATATGTCGTAAAGAAGTTTCACTTCGTACTTGTGTAAACTATTACACGCATTTTGTTTTTACAATCTTTTTTATCTTAATTTAGTATTTGTAACCACCTCCTTGGCTGGGTGGTACGTAAGCTTGACCACCTTGGTTAGGAGAACCAATAGAGTTGATGCTAGGTTCGGGATACCGTGCTTCGCCCTCATACGATACCTGGAATTAAGGGTTATTAAAAAAATTGGTTATTTGTAAATGTAAACATTTCCAGCCAACTGCATAAAGTAGTAGTTTTTAATTAGATGCTATATTTTGAAGTATTTTTAGCGATAATTGTTTACCACGTTGGTTTTTTTTATAAGATAAGGTGACAAACGAGCACACAGTCCACCTGATGGTAAGTGGTTGCTGGGGCCCATAGACATCTACATCTATCTTCGATTACGAATCAAAATGCAGATGCGTTGTCACCCGTGAGGGCTAAGATGGAATGCCTCGTTTCTAGTAAAAAGGGTCTCCGGTTCTCTACACCCACTAAACGAAATACAGCAGCATTAAGTTACTATTTTACGCTGGTATTCTGTGAGATTTCTATTCTTATTTTGTTAAAAAGAAGAGTAGAGTTGAGTGAAGGACCACGTCCCGGTATATATAAAATTCTGTCCGTGTCTATGATTCAACTCTCAAACAGCTGAACTGATATTGGTGAAATATTGTGTGTGATAAAGTTGATTCGAGAATGGTTTAGATACACAATTTGACCCGAAACGTGGCGTTGTTGTCTAGATCTAAAAAATACTCATGCGAAGTCGGCGCGGATCGCTAGTGCAGTGGAACCCGGTAATCCGACCCCTGTCTAATCCGGCACGTCCTGTAATCCGACATGTCTATAACATTTACCTAGGTATAGGCATGTCGATTCACTCTTAAAAAAATCGATCTCTGAATCGATTTGAATCGAAGGTACTTGAATCGATTATCGATTAAATCGAGGAATAAAAGATCGATTTTCGATTAATCGCGACATTTTCAAACATGAAATTTCAAGAATTTTCGATTTTTTTTCTTTAACTTCTAAACTGTAATATTTTTTTAAAATAAAATATTAGTAATCGTATTAATTAACATTACTAATATTCCTTTTAACCACTCCTGGTAAGCTTGAAACGCTTGTGTTAGGAGTGGTTCGCACATACTTCACTCGATCCCTTTTTTTACAAAGTGATTCCGCGTAACACTTTTATTTGATATTTTAGGCTAAAAACAACAACAATACTTTAACAAAAGTGCAAACTGCAACGTACATTTCTCGATAAATCTGTTTCAACCTAATAACTCACTATTTATCATATTGAAATGAATACTACACGAACACAATACTGGTTATTTCCTAGCTATAAACCTCTATAAACTTCAACGTACGGTATAATATGTTTTACAGTATCTAGGTATTTAAAAAGTACTCTGTCTGTACTTACAGCTTACAGTATGTATATTTTTGATAATAAATAATGTAAATTCACAAGTTCACAGTTCAAACAGGTTCACAGTTATAATATTATATTATATTATAGTACAGGAGGTGAAATATAATATGAAAATATCGCTCGGTCGATCGAAAAAATATTTATAGTTTGGGATGTAATATATATTACACCTCAGTGGAAACGGTTCTTATTTGGTTGGAAAGTGGGCTTAAGAATTTTAGAAATGTAAATGAAATGACAACTTTTCGATATTGTTGGATGCGTTCATAAAACATATTGCTTTCAAATTATCAACCAAGTACGACCGGTTGTTTCTGCGTCCGCCAACAGCAAAAAATTAAAAATCTGTGGTATCTTACCACAGCCAGTTTGGGAATTTTAGCTAGTTCTTGAATCAAATGAATGAGTCCGATTCAATAGGTTTTTGGATCGATTCAGTGAATCGATGGGGTGCTTCGAAGCGATCTAAAGAATCGATAATTTTACTCCAAAGAATCGATTTTTCGATTAATCGATTTTAGATCGACATGCCTACCTAGGTACAGTCGAGTTGCGTGAATGAATCCGTTACGGGTGGATGTGTTGTTCGCGAATACGTGGACAAACAGTTTGTAAATAGTTTGCACCACCAAGAATTTTTCTTGACGCGTATTGTCTTAGTTTGCGGGCCTAGCGGGCGTTCATTATTTATTGTTTAGGTATTCTTTTATTCGACTGCCTCGTTGGTCTAGTGGTTGTAGTTGTACGACTGCTGATCATGAGGTCCTGGGTTCGAATCCCGGGTCGGGCCAAAAAAAGAAAACTAATTATTGAGTTTTTCCGTCAAGAAATTCTCAGTAGTTGCTCGGAGTTAGAAAGTTGGCAGTGTCTCACCCCCGTGCCTCGAAAAGAACGTAAAGCCATTGGCCCTGCGCTTGATCTCTCTCCGGTCCTGTCGGTTTACCGTCCCATCGGATTATGAGAGTGAGGGAATAGAGAGTGCACCTATGCTTGCGCATACACTTGGGCACTATAATCCTGTCATGCGTCGATGGCTAGCCTCCGCTGAGGCAGGCCGCCGTGGCCGAAATTCGGTTTGGAGGACATTATTCTTTTATTATTTTGTATTTGATATGTAATTTATCGGATTACAAGGCACTCTTTTTCAAAAAGTTCCACCAGACTACCAGGAAGCTGTGCGACAATTTTGGTAATTGGTCACTGCCTTGCAAAATGTTTGTTGGATTATTGCGGGTGAAATATATATATATATATATATACTTATAATGGAATAGGTGGTATAGTATATATAGATAATGAATTTATTTGCAATGTGTGATTACATCTGTGAAGGAATTGACCTGATGTATGAGGAATAAGAAAAAAATATTGGACATGTGTAGTTCGCACTATGTGAATTCCTTCCCTAAAATGAGGAGTTGTGTCTAGTATTTAACTTTAAGTAATGGAATACTGGTGTCGCCGTGTAGCAAGGCTGTAAGAGATTCCATTACCCCATGTCATCCAGTCGGCGGTTGCCAACCTACCTGCTGAGCGTGGCAACTATGGCAAATTTCTTCTAGGAGCAATTCAATCAGGTGGGTTTGTGGCATTCATTATATTAACGACCGGGGAAAGACCACGCTTTCACAGAATTGCAGCGCAAAATAGCAGCTTAATGTTGCTGCGTTTCGTTTGGTAAGCGTAAAGACCCGGAGACACTTTACTGGAAACGCGGCATTAGTCCTCATCCTCAGGGTTGACAACACATCTGTGTTTTGATTCTTAATTAAGGATAAATGTAGATGTCTATGGGCCACAGTACCTATACCTCCAGGTGAAATGTGTACTCGTTTGTCACCCTTATTGTACTAAAACAAAAATATTATAGACTATGTTACATGTTGTGTTCAGCATTAGATTTTTCTTAGACTGTAAGGGCTGGTTTACATTTTGAAAAGTGACAAGTGCAACTGAGAAATGACAAGTGCTTAGTGCGAATTTTATTCACACTTATCACTTGTCACTGCCTGTTCGCACGCACTAAGCACTTGTCATTTGTCAGTTGCACTTGCCACTCGCACTTGTCACTTCCCAAAATGTAAACCGGGCTTTATGAATTAATAAATTAATGACCCTTCACTTTTACTTACATCAGCGTTGTAACCATTTTTCCAGTCGGCAGTGTATTTTACAATCTGTACGCGCCCGTCAGGAAGGGCCACTCTGTACTCTCCTCTCGTCACGTCACCATCTGAGATCGCGTTGTGACTGTAGTCGTTGCCGTCTTCGTTCACCGCGTACGTGAAGTCGAAGGGCATTCCGGGTTCGTGATGGTGGTGATGGTCGTGTTCACCATCGTGGTGCTCGTGGTGCTCGTGGTGATTGTGATGGTGATCGACCTGAGGACAAAGTATTTTTTTATAAAACAAACAGTAACCAACGAGCTCGCTGGCTTGTTTCTTTCCGAAATGTATCACTGGAACGCCTCCAGTTGCTAGGGGTTTCCTTTTTTTTCATAGGATAATGGTGACAAACGAGCACACAGTCCACCTGTAAGTGGAATCTGTGGCCCATAGACATCTAAATTTAACCTCGATTAAGAATCAGCCGTGGTAGCTCAGTGGTTAACGCTCGCTGTAAATATAACAGAACGCGAGTAATCCGGGTTAGATCCCCGCCGGCACCAATGAAATTGTTAATTGCAATTTTAAGTGCTGATTTACCACGTGCTCGACGGTGAAGGAAAACATCGTGAGGAAACCTGCATGTCTGAAGAATAAGGAAAAAAAAATATTTCGAAGACATGTGAAGTTCGTCAACACGCATTTGGGCAGCGCGGCGGACACTTCCTTGCCCTAAACGGTTGCCTTTCAGAAATGAGGGGAGGCCTGAGCCCAGCAGTGGGACGTATATAGGCTGTAACTTTACTTTACTTTACTTTTAAGAATCAAAATACAGATGCGTTGTCACCCCTCACGACTAAGATGAAATGCCGCGATTCCAGTAAAACGGGTCCCCGGTTCTCTACACTCAACATACGAAATACAGCAGCACTAAGCTGCTATTTTACGCTGGTATTCTGTGAGAGCGTGGTCCTTCTTCGGTCGAGCCGATCCATTCATGCTGCAACCATAATATGGCGGCGTGGCTCTACCACGTAAAATAGGTTTACTCGAACCTGAACTTTGAGTGGTTAATCAAGTCCACGGCCAACAGCCGCAAGAAAGTTAGATGTCTGCAAAGGTGTGATGGTAGGCACTTAGGACGTGGATGTTTGCCAACACGATATAAAGCGGAAATCCGGTCGTCTGTAAAGTATTACTGTCACGTATAGGCTGCTGCTACAAAACTCAAAGGAAAGACGTGCTAAAAGACTTATTGGTAACACTAACATATTGGTTCAGTTCTAACCATCTTACCAGTCTCGACCACACGCGAATAGCCAGCCTTACCTATTCTACTACGTATGATGTATCCTTGCTAGACAGGAAGCATCATACGTAGTAGAGCCATGCTGCAGCTCTATTATGGTTGTAGCATGAATGGGCCGGCTATACCGGGAATGGACCCACACTCTCACAATAAAATGTTATGCTGCTGTATTTCGTATGTTGGTGTACAATCGAAGACCCTTTTGTTGGAAACGATGCATTTCTTAGTCCGAAGGGTTCACAACACATCTGCATTTTGATTCTTAATCGAGGATAGATGGAGATATCTATGACCATAGTATCACTTTTAGACTGTAGAACGAGTACAGTCTACCTAATTAGGTGATGTATTAGATAAAATACCGATCTAATATTTTTCATTACTTTTATATGTGCTAGAGCCACGGGGCAGTTGCATTTGAATAGTTCTACACGACCGGGAAAAACCATGCAGAATACCGGCGTGAAATAGCGGCTTAATGCTGTTGTTTTTCGTGTGGTGAGTAGAGAACCGGAGACCCTTTTTACGGGAATTGAGGCATTCTATCTTAGTCGTCAGGGATGGCAACACATATATGCATTTTGATTCATGTGATCTGCATCTGAGGATAGATGTAATGTAGATGTCTATGGACCACAGTATACACTTACCGTGAGGTGGACTATGACACTTAGCCGCTGTGGGCTAATATCGAACTAGCGCCGCTGTGGGCCTGGATTCTGAACTCTGAGACGACCGTGGGCGAATTGTGCCTCTATCGGTGCTTGACTCGCAGTAGCGTAAACCCTGCAAAACCGCTACGCGTACACGAGTGGAGAAGAATTAGCGTAGCTCTTATCCACCGCTCACTACTCGCCTGTGTAGAAACGGACTCCCCAAATGTTGTATATGTTCGTTTGTCAACTATATTCTACTAAAAAAAAAGTTCTCCCCAAAATGACAGGTGAATGTAGCAAGTTCGTTTCGTACAGTGAGTGTAAAGAATCGGATATCCTTTAGCGGTTGCTGTGCCCGGCCTTTAAGATTCACATACAACAAGTAGCTGTTGAATTTTATTATCTGTGGTAAGTTCTATAACTTTTATGTTTATGTTAGTGATGTCGACATTTTCGCCCGTTATCGTTTTTATATACAGCACGCCAATAAAAATCAATTGAAACTGTGTCATAAATGTACAAAATTTTATGATCATGTTGTTAGGCGAAATGTCTGTAGGTCGAACTTCATCGGCGGAATTTGATCGGGCAATTTAGAATACAATGCGTTTGGTAATCATTTTATTATATTAGATATTTAAATATTTACGCCTCGGCAGCGGTATATCACTATAATGTTGAGATTTACGGGTTTCACAAAAGTTTGTAAGTTAAAAAAGTATCAGCTTATATATGTCCCTTTTCCAAGCACAGACGTTATTTAATTTATATTTGTGATTGTTGTCACATGGTTAAACTCCAGCTTTATTTTTGTGATTGTTGTCACATGGTTAAACTCCAGCTTTATTTTTGACTAGTAAACAGTGTAGTAGTTTTACTATATTTATTATAAATGGTTAATATACTAATTTAAAAAAACCGACTGGTTGCGCCGAAGAGACCGCGAGCAAGAGAGCGAGAGAGCGCTATCTAATTGCATTTAGGCGGTCTTCACATGTGCTCGTAATATTCCCCGAAGAAACTGGCATCAGTTTCTTTACAATGGAAAACATTGTACTACTTGTAAATTTGGAAATTTCAAATACATAATAAATTAGAATTTAAAGTTGTAATTAATAATTAGTGTCGTAGATAATATAAGTGAGGTTCTCGAGAGACGGCCGATGCAGGAAGTCGATGGATGCAGGTGGATAAGGGCCGTATTTTGGCATTCCTTGGGGGAGGCCTATGTTCAGTAGTTTAATGTGATGGGCTGTAATGTACTGATGTTGATGGTGATGATAAAAATAAAGTTTCGTTCGTGAACTACATTTGAAAGTGCTTATCTTCGGATGCTATCATGTTATTTTTTTGTGATAATAATGCCATAAATAATGATAATTATTTTTATTCTCATATTTTATTTTATTGTATTGGCTTCGAGTGGGATCTTATTACAGAAAACAGTTATTTTATATATTACAAACAGACATTTCAACTTTATTAATTTTAATTATACTTTATTTATATACTTAGATAAGAAACTATGCACAATGTTAATACTCAGTGCTAGTGATTTATTTAATTGTATATTTTTTTTAGCTTTACGTTGTATTCATAAACGTATATGTATACGGCAATTCCGATTATTATTTTCATATGGGTGAGTTGATTTACAATTTTGTCTTTTTTTATAATATTCGGATAGATAACTAATTCCTCTAATATCCTCAAGACCGAATTTCGGTGTCGGCGGCTGGTCTTAATTGAGACTACCTATCTGGGATTAAAGTGCACGAGTGTGCAATGCAAGCACAGGTATACTCTCCATTTCCTCACTCTTATAGTCCGATGGAACTGTAATCCAACACGAATGGAGAGATCAGGCGGAGAACCAAAGGCTTTAGTCGCTTTCTGAGGCAAGGCGGTGACAATCCGCCAACCTCCAACAATTACTGATTTTAGATCGACCAGGGATTCGAACCTGGGAACCAAATGGGTAGTCGCGCAACATTTTAGAATTCTTCAGGGACAGTCTACACTGTGCGACTGTTTGACCACAGACTATATATAGTGTTTGAAATAGGTCTAAGACTAATAACACACGGTACTTAGGGCTCTTTACACGCTAAGAGAAGTCGCCGGGTCTATGCAAGAAATCGTGTCGTTTTTACACACGAATTGTGTACTCCGGCGCTGACAAAGAAAAAAACCTTGTCTGCGATAGACAAGACGATCTTTGTGTTGTTGCGGTGACGTGTTGGGTACGTACTTTTCATATATATTATATATATATTAATTGCAATAATCATTTTTTGCTTCGTAGTTAATATGATTCTATTCATTACAAACAAATTTGACTAGTGCACTATACCATAACGTAAACAGACATAAAACAATCTTATCGTTTACAACACACATTTTTGTAGATAGATCAGACAAAATTCTTGTCGTATAAATGGTGAATTGATCTTATCTGCCGCAGACACGGTGAAATTTCTTAGCGTGTACAAGAGCCCTTACTCTGAGACTTTTGGCGGTATGAACGTCAACAGTCGACATAATTTGTCTAGTCGACAATATATACAGAGTTATTTTGCAATAACCGGCCGTTTGTAGAGAAGGTTCAGAATAATAAAGAAAACTTGATTAAGTAAAATCTCTAACCATCTGTCCTTTTTATCTTTTAAATATAAAATGCGTGGTAATGCATTATTTTAACTGATTTTACTGCGCACGCACTCATTCGTAAGGGTCGATCGGTAGGCAAAAACGTTGTTGACCATAAATCACATTCAGCTTGGGATAATTTCAAATAGAAATAGAACACTCATTAACTCATATTTTTAAAAACTGCAATAACGGTAGATATATCGTTACTCGTATATTTGAATTAAAGTTTAAAATTAGGCTACTCTGAAAAATAGCCATGTATGCAATAATCTAGGCGACAATACTTGGACAAAGTATCATACGACAATATGTGTGTTTTTTTTTATAGAATAATGGTGACAAACCAGCACGCAGTCCACCTGATATAAAATCCTCAGTGAAGAATCAGTTATCACCTCTGAGGACTAAGATGGAATGCCTCATCTTCAGTAAAATGGGTCTACGGATCTACACTAACCACACAGCAACATAAAGCTGCTATTTTACGCTGGCATTTTGTGAGAGCGTGATCATTCCGCAGTTAAGCCGACCAGCTCTACCACTCTTGTTTGAGCGGTATGAAAGTAGACAAAGAGATTTATTTTATTTTATGTATATGTAACACAAGTTCTAAGTATATTTTAGCATTTTCCATAATATGATCTTTGACTATGCCAAAT